AAAAAAAAAAAAAAAAGAAAAGAGCAATTCGGTTAAGCTGTATACCCATAGGAAACTTTGTAATTACAACTGAATAATTTTTCAAGGTAACATTTATTGTAACAAATATTATTATATAAGGTGATCAAATTATTAGTCAAATCGAATATTTTTATTTAATAACTATATATATAAATATTTATTATAAAATATCATAATTTTAATTGTTTTATTTTTTATGGTTTAAAGTATTTTTTTTTTTGAAACCCAGATTGGTCTCTGTAGGTTGTCCTGACCGGGTAGCAAGGAATCCGTTCAACTCGGCTTTGATTATATTGACCGCGCCGGGTCAACTCGTTTTTGTCCCTGGCCATTATATATTATTTTTATTTTTTTATTTTTTGTTTGTTTGACCTTTTTAGTTAAAAAAAAAAAGAGTAAATCAACATACAATATTATTCAGACTGTCGGGGTGTAAATTTACATATAAATAATTTATATATGTTCTATTATTTTATGTACGATTATAAAATATACATAATTGAAATATAATTTAAAATTTTATAAAATTAAGGGTTAATTGCATTTAAAATCCTAACATTTTGTGCAATTGCAAATAAAACTCAACTTTTTCAATTTGACAAAAAAACTACCAAACTATTAATAAGTATTGCAATTGTGTCTCAAAATCAGTTTCCGGCCATACCAAACCTTGAATATGATGACCGGAAAAGTCGTCGCCGGAAAAAGTCACCGGTTCCGGTGAAGGTGGACGTCACTATATGTGGCATTATGAGAGGAGTTCAACGGTACCTTCGAATTCACAAAAGCGAGTCACCGGCAATTTGCGAAAGAACCGGGGAAAATTTGAAGATCTACGATTTTGACCGGATTGGAAGCCTTATCGTCGGATTTTTTCGTGAAACTCGGATATGTTGTCGGTACGGAAGAGAGCTACAAGATCATGTAAAAATTTTCAACATCCAGCGAAGTTGGCGGCTGTTCGAGGGGTGAGACACAATTGAAATACTTATTAAAGGTTTGATGTTTTTTTTGTCAAATTGAAAAGTAAGTTCTATTTAACCCTAAAATTAATGATTCGTGACCTAGCTATTGATTCTTGACTTATGGGGTATACGTGAGAGATTTCTCACTCTTGTTGTAATTGTTATTTATGATTGACTTGTTATTTCACATCAAAGATTTTATTAGTCATCCTCCCTATATATAATTCCAGAATGCGCTGAGCCTACGTGGCTGCTTCTGGTGCTTCGGAATCCTATGTGGCGAAGAATCATGCTTCGTAATTAGGTTTGGATGAATAATATTAATATATTAATAATTAATAATCTAGGTTCGGGTATTCCATGAATATTATTTAGCTAACTTAGGTATTTTAATATTATTTTTATTAATATAACTCTTTAATTATTTGTAATTTTACATAGTGAGGCACTAAGTGACTAATATATCCCTGAATTTTGATTGTTTCCTTCAATAAGCTATTGAATTATAAATGTATTTTAAAAGTTGATAACTTTTGTATTTCTTATCGGTTTTACATATATAATATATCAAATTAATCATCTTTTGATGATCTTCGATTTGACATCCATATTGTATATATGAAATAAATAAATTATATTTATCAATAATAATAATAAATAATAATATTTATGAAAATTTATTAAAAAAATAAAAGTATTTCTCAATTAATATATTTATGTTTAATGTCGTTATATGTTGTAAGTTAAAAAAATTATCATAATATAACACAATAAGTTGCACAAATAAAAAGTGTCATACTAAATATATAATAATGTATATATTTTTATAAAAGGTATTTAAATTTTCAACTATTTTTTCTCATTAATTTTAGATTTTAAAAAAAATAAATTAGCAAGCACCCGTGTAATACACGGGCGTTGTACTAGTTAATCATTAAACATTAATATTTCATAATAATGTTTGGACCTATAATTTTGTCACGGGACATATAGTCATTTCACGTTAATTTTTGCCCGACATATGATAAAATCGTTGACTACTTAACAGTAAACTCAATAATTTTTGCATGACACGTCATCATTTCGGGATAATAATATTATCTATGTTCTAAAATTCGGCCTAGGCAGCCGCCTAGACGCTAGGCGGTGCCCAGGCGCCTTCGATTTGAACAAATCGGCAGAAAAAATGGCCAGGCGACCCTAGGCGGGCTTGGCGGTCAGGTGGTTCGACGGCGCCTAGACGGGCATAGACGGAGCTAGGCGCTCTTAGGCGGACTTGGCGGCAAGTTTTTAGTTTTTTTTTTACTTCTTTTAAATACTAAAACATTATTTTGTTCTCTTGTTTTCTTTAAAATATACGTTGATGGTATACACCGAACGAGTGGTGATAGGGAAAAAGACGAACCGGATGCATCCGGGATCGGGCCGCTGTCGAACGGATGGAAGAGAATACGCGGGATCTGATTTAATCATTGCCCAAAGGCAGCCGTACTGCGCGCATTAAATGCAAAGATATACAAAGATCCCTTATCCGTCGGCGAGGGAAAAATGGAGACGCGTGGCACGATCAGGACGGATCTCTGGTATTGGGAATGAATTGTCAAG